GGCTCGCGCGGCTTGTCATGGAGAAGGTGGGTGTGCCCGCCCTTCCCACGGCTCCGGCGCCGATGCCCTGTGGTGACCGCCGGGGTCCGGCCGCGGGGACACCGGAGGCCACTCCTAATCATGTGGGAGCGGGAGGGCGGGTACGCTGCTCGGTGAGCCAGGTTCTGACTGGACGGTGCGGGGAGTGTCACCGCTCACACGGACGGTTAACGGGATTTCAGCGTTTTAAAAAGCCAGCCCCGTGTCCACCTCTCTCTGGTCAGACGCCTCACTGCCTCCTGACCGGCCTGGGCGCTGCAGAATTTGCCGCCGCCATGGGGGTCCCGGCGGTTCCTGGGGAGCAGCTGGTAACGGAGAGAAGAAGGAAACACCTTGCGAGAGAGAAGCAGAAGGAGGCTCAGAATCCGGACCAGCAGAAGTAAGTGCCACCGAGGCTCACGTCTGGGGAGTCTGTTGAGCGTGAATGTTTGGTAACTTAGTCTTTTTTTAAAAAAATATATTTTTTGGTTTCAGAGGAAGGGAGAGGGAGAGAGAGAAACATCAATAATGAGAGAGAATCATTGATCGGCTGCCTCCTGCACGCCCTCCACTGGGGATCAAGCCCACAACCCTGGCACATGCCCTTGACTGGAATCGAACCTGGGACCCTTCAGTCTGCAGGCCGACGCTCTATCTACTGAGCAACCCAGCCAGGGCCCTGCAGTTCTTACATAAGTCAGATGCCACTCGGTCGTTCCCGGCTTTGAACCAAACAATGCTGAGTCATGGGAACCTGCTCATCTGAGTGTTAAGTGTGGCCTCATTGGTGCCGCTGGCTCCTCACTCAGCAGGGCCCCAGGGTCCCTACCCCGGGCCTGGCAGGGGCTTCCATTGATTGTCTTTCTTTTTTAAAAAAAAAAATTTTTTTTTATTGATTTCAGAGAGGAAGGGAGGAGAGAGAGAGAGAAACATCAGTGATGAGAGAGAATCACTGATCAGCTGCCTCCTGCACACCCCCTACTGGGGATGGCGCTCACAACCCTGGCATATGCCCTTGGCTGGAATCGAACCTGGGACCCCTCAGTCCTCAGGCTGACACTCCACTGAGCCAAGCCAGCTAGGGCTTGATTTTCTTTTAGAGCAGTTTCTCACCCTCTACAAACCATCTAGGGCAGTGGTTCTCAACCTTCCTAATGGACCCTTTAATATAGTTCACCTCACGTTGTGAACCAACCATAAAATTATTTTCTTTGCTACTTCATAACTGTAATGTTGCTACTGTTATGAATTGTCATGTAAATATCTGATCTGCAGGATGGTCTTAGGCGACACCTGTGAAAGGGTCGTTCGACCGCCAAAGGGGTCGCGACCCACAGGTTGAAAACAGCTGTTTTAGAGAGAATGGGAGGGAGGGAGGAAGGGAAGAAGATCAATTGGTTGCCTACGGCCCATGCCCCAACCAGGGCCAGGGACCAAACCTGCAACTGAGGTACATGCCCTTAACCAGGAATAAACCGTGACCCTTCAGTCCGCAGGCCGACGCTCTAACCACTGAGCACGCTGGCCAGTGTCCTTCTCACTCTCTCCTGGCGCCGAGGACTCCAGCTCTGCGTCCTGAACTACGGTGTCTGTGTTTGATGCGAAATCCCAGATGCAACCCCGTTGTGTGGACCAACACGCGGGAGATGAGATCTGAGTGCCCCGAACCTGCCGCCTAACGGGACCGCCAACTGCGCGTCTCTCTGTTCTGTGTGCTTTTCTCAGAGACTTGGGCACCGTGGGCGCCGTTGCCTTGGACGCCAGAGGAGACGTGGCTTACGCCACCTCGACCGGGGGCATCGTGAACAAAATGGTCGGCCGAGTCGGGGACACGCCCTGTGTAGGTAGGCCTGACCGACGCCGCCTGTGCCCTCTGCGCCCGGCACCGCATTCGCATTCTGTTTTCCCCGCTCTCCTCTCTTCATCGCCCAATCTCGGAGTGGCCTCGCCGGGGGCTTGGGGGAGGGCGGGGGGGCGGGGGGACGGGACACACACAGGCCTGCTGGTCCCTCGGGGGCGTGGCTGCTGGGCTGACGGGAGGGAGATGGAGATCAGGCCGCTGGGGTTGCCCCCAAGCTGCCCACGGTGCCTCTTCTCTCTAGTTCCAGTTTGAGGGCCCACAGTTAGTCCCAAAGGAAACCTCTTCCCGGGCACTAAGCAAGCTGAGGACCTGAGTGGGCAGCTACTGGGTCTGAGGGGCACAGAGTCACCTGCTCTCTGCTCAGGATGGAAGCAGGTGCATCTCATTCCCAGGAGCGGGGAGGGCGCACGTGACAATCGTGCTGACTGCCCCCAGGTTCCCTTCCTCCTGATTGCAGGGCGGTCACATGGCGCTGCGAGTCCACCTTTGCCTCCCAAGGTCATGGGTGCTCCTCGGGCCTTGGGCTGTGCTTTCGGACTTAGCACATGCACCGTTAGCTTGTACTACGTGTTAGAACTTCTTTTAAAAATACCTTTTTATTGATTTCAGAGAGGAAGGGAGAGAGAGAGAGAGAGAAACATCAATGATGAGAGTATCATTGATCTGCTGCCCCCTGCAGGCCCCACACTGGGGCTCGAGCCCACAACCTGGGCCTGTGCCAGCAACTGGGGATCAAGCCCGTGCCTTCTGGTCATAGCGGGTGCTCAGCCACGGGGCCGCGCCGGCCAGGCTGCCCTCTGTCCCTCCTCAGGCCGCACCATTTCTCCGAGCAGGATCCGGGGGCTACGCCGACAATGCCATTGGAGCTGTTTCCACCACGGGGCACGGGGAGAGCATCCTGAAGGTGAACCTGGCCAGGCTCGCGCTCTTCCATGTGGAGCGGGGTGCGTGGACAAGGGCATGCCGTCTAGAGGCGGGTCTCGCCCTCTCCCTGTGCTGCAGGCGTGGCTTGCAGGTGGACACCGTGTCCGTGTCGATTCTCCCCACCTCTGTCGGGGGCGGACTCGCGTTTATGCTGCTGGCTGTCCCTCGTGGGGCGGCGGCTCTGAGCTGGGTGGGGAGAGCCGGCATCTCCCCTGGCAGGTGGGCTCAGCGAGGACGGCCTGGGCAGGACCGTCCTTGAAGCTCTCGGGTGTCCACGGGTGTCGGTTCCTCACGCCGCACACAGTCCCTTCAGGTTCCTTTAAAGTAACGTGTCGTCCTCAGCCTGCCTTCGCTTTCAGGAAAGACATTGGACGAGGCGGCGTCGGCGTCGCTGGGTTACATGAAGTCCAAGCTCCAAGGCCTGGGTGGTGTCATCTTGCTCAACACAGCGGGAGACTGGGCGGCCCAGTGGACCTCGGAGTCTATGGCCTGGGCGGCCGCCAAGGATGACAAGCTGCACGTCGGCGTCAATCTTGGCGACACCAGGGTCACTGACCTGCCCTGAGCCCCGGAGGGTTAGGCCAGGAGCTGGCCTGCAGGTGACGCCGTTGCCTGGGTCGCAGGCTCAGCTTGACCCGTTAGCTAGAACCAGAAGCACCCTCCGGTCTGCCCCGCGTCCTGCCCCTGGAGCAGTGCCTGTCCGAGTGTGTGGTGAGGGGTGGAGTCTGAAGGGAGGAGAGAAGTGCCCACAGTGAGGTCAAAATGCAACGAGTGAGGATGACGGAGGCCGGAGCCGTCTCTTGAGCCGCCCCCTGGTCTCAGGTTAGAAAGAACCAACATGATCTCAACCCAACCACCACCGGAATGTCCTCGCACAGGGAGCTGGAATTGGGAAACACACCCCCCCCAGTTCCCTCACCCCCAGTGGCAGAGCTGCCCCCCATCCCGGGCTGTCATGGTTGCACTTTCTGGCGGGACCGGGAGGCAGGTGGGAAGAGAGTCCGCGGACGCGTCTGACGGCGGCAGGAGCAGCAGAGCTCATGGCAGAGTCCGGCTGAGCGGCGCCCACTGGGCCCGAAGGACGTGGGTAAAAGCGGGAGCGGCCGACGGGTTTCTAAGGACGGTCGGACCCTTGCTGACTTACTGACGTCGAAGCTTCCAGACCTCAGAGGACCCTCTGGTAACTCGCAGTTCCCGGAGCTGATGGTGCAGCCTGGGCCCCACCCCTGAGTGGGATGTGGCCGTGGGTCGCGGGGAAGGGAGGCGTTCCCTGGTGGAGGGTCCCGTTAACCTTCCCACTGGAGCGGTGTTTCTGCTGTGCCGGGTCTGCAGTCTGACCTCTCTGGAAGGAACCTGCTTAACTGGCAATCCCACGGCCACTAGTAAACGAATAAAATGCGATTTGGAAGAACAACAGTGGTCGGAGTCGTGCGGACAGGCCAGAACGGGCAGGGCTCCTTGGTCTGCCAGTGCAGGCAGGTGTCCCGTGACCGGCCTGCAGGGGAGCCCTCTGGGTGTTATTCCTAAAGTGCAAACTAGAGGGCGCCAGAAAGCGTTCCTGGTTCTCCACTGGGGAGGGGGGGTTCCCCCAAATGTGCACTGGAGGAAGCGGGAAAAGACCTTCCCTGGACCCCCACTCAGGTGTTGTTCCCCAGGTGCACCCGAGATGGCAGCAGAGGAGGTTCTTTGCTTTTTATGCGCTGCCTTGGGGCGGCCTGTCCCAGGTGCAGGATGGAAGGCGGCTTCTCGCTGACAACCGGCCGGTGTTCTTCAAAAGATAGGCACCAGGTGGCGTCAGAGAGCCTCCTGGTGGACACTCCCGTGTTATTTCCATATTTTGGTCACAAGTCCTTTATCCCGAATGCGTTTTGCAAATATTTTCTCCCAGTTTGAAGCTTTTCGTGTTCTTAATACTGAAGAGGTTTTCCATGATCTCAATTTAGCGTTTTTTTCTTTCATGGGTTGTGTCTCTGGTGTTGATGTAAAATCAATCACGTTTAAACCTGAGTCATGAGTCTCAACTCTAACATGTTGTGGGGGAAGGTAAAAGCCTCGAGCCGTGGGGGGCCAGGCGCCTCCCCCGGGGAGGAGAGGCCGGGATGTGAGTGATTCGGGCCGCACCTGTCCCCAGCACGTGCATTTTGAGAAGTGACCCAAGCCAATCAGTTGGTCAATCGATGGATCGGTAAAAATGGCCCCTGCCCCACAGGTCGGGCTGCGACGTGCTCCCAGCATTCCCAGCGTGTGACCAGCGCTTGCGGCCTCACCCGTGGGTGGCAAAGGCACAGTCTGCCTCGGTCAGCCAGAAAGGAGCGCGTGCTCATGGCTCACGCAGTGCAGCTGCTGCCCCCGGCGGGCGATCCCTGCGTGTCCCTCGGTGTGTGGGTCCGTCTTCCACGTGGGGACGCCTCCTCCGGGCTAGACCCGTGGCCTGCCTCCCATGCGCCACTGAGTCACCCCGGCCGGCGGGAGCCTGGGGCCCCATGATGGGGACACGGGGGCTGTTAAAAGGTCAGTTGCTTTTCCTGTAGGCTGGTCGGTTCTCTTGGAGGAAGTTTCTGGAGCCTGGCTTGGGTCTCCAGGGGAGGGAGG